TGGTTTTCTGACCCCCCCAATAAAGCAAAACTGCACGTTTCAGAGTGGTCTTTTATTGTGGCCAGCCTAAGGCACACCTGTGCAATAATCATGCTGTCTAATCAGCATCTTGATATGCCACACCTGTGAGGTGGGATGGATTATCTCGGCAAAGGAGAAGTGCTCACTATCACAGATTTTTTCAGATTTGTGAACAATATTTGAGAGAAATGGTTATTTTGTGTATATAGAAAATGTTTTAGATCTTTGAGTTCATCTCATGAAAAATAGGAGCAAAAACAAAAGTGTTGCGTTTATATTTTTGTTCAGTGTAATTATGTTTTTATTTCTCTCGTCTTGTTTTGGTCATTTAACATCTTGGATAAGGACAACAGTTGAAAATTAGCCTGCTGGCTAATACTGGCTCATTTACAGCAATGTGGATTAATGTGCACTAATAAATAAACAAACAAACAAACAAAAGAGAGAAAAGTAGGAAACCTCTGAATTTGAGGGGCAGAAAACAGCACTTTGAAATTTTTACATTCAAAAATGGTTAATCGTTTATTGAAATAGTTGATAGCAGTTATTTTTCCTCCGATGCAGATCTAGAAATGATGTTAAATTGTCATTTACACTTTCTGCAACAGGGAACAAAAGGAATAGAATCCTAGATATTCACACTGTTTTGCCAGTAATCATTCAGAGAGGGTTGTTTATGGTGAACCAGTTGCATACTGTAAATTCAAAAAATGTCCCCTCTAATCGCAAATATCCTCGGTGAGATCAGCCTCGAGTCCCACTGTCCAACAATTAAACCCTGTAATAACAGCCATGCCTCATCTTTAAATGCCCGTTCTGTCATTCATGGCCACATGCAGTACAATGACCCTCATGAAGCTCGGACTTGAAGAGGATGACTCAGGCTCACATCACTCCATAACAGAAGGACTATTTTTGAAAAAGAGACATTTACAATCAAGTTAAGAGCGTGTGATTCAGAGAGTTGTGATTCATTCTCCTCTCACTCTTAACCTCTCGTCCCCGTTGTGTATTCCCCTGATGAGATGAGGTCAGGGGCATTATTGGGGGACATTTTCATCGGGTTAATGGTTGCTCTGACCTGAGTGATGGATGTTTTACGGTGGTAGGTTTTTAACAGAGGCCATCCTTTATGAAAAAGGAAAGCGTCGTTAGCATTTTGAAAAGGGTTCAGGGTCTTTCTAAAAAGGAACACGTAGAGAGGACATGTTTTCAAAAGAATCTTTATTGTTAATCATTTCGGATTGTCATAAAATCCATTTATATGAACGTTTGCAAGCTAGGGATGCGTTTTGTGATGTCATCTCTTAGAAATGATCAGATTCGTTAGAACTCGTTATTGTTTGGGTTATTTTTAAGTCAATATACTGTATATATATCATCATGTACACTGATACTCAGTAAAAAGAGACATTTAAAATGATATAATAAAATAATTGTTTTATCATCATAATCCTTGTCTTCCTTTTCTGGCTTAAAGTCAAGGTAATAAGAAGGTAAACCTTAAAGCAGTATAGTAAAGTAAATATTCATACCCTATTCTGCTCATTTTCGGTTCATGTAAGTTGTGTCTCTACTGCGACATGTCTCCATGCTTTAATGTTCAAAAAGCACCTCTTTTCCCCCTCTGTCTGAAACCAGAGCCCAGTCTCTTCTGATCTGTCAACCACGAGAGATACCCCATTAGTTAGGGTTGAATATAGCCATGTGTGTACAGTAACATGTGATGTAATCTGAAATGAGTCCCAGATCAATATTTATGGACACAGAGAGGCTTCAATCCTGTTAGTTTCAGGATGTTGTCCAAACATTAGATCACCTCACCGCCTCTTCACTCACAACATCCATCCATCAAAACACACTTCACCTCCCCCTTATCCCCCCCAACCACCATAAAAACACAGGTTTCCTCATGAGCCCTGATGTAGCCGCACAGCACCATTACCTCACATCCATCACCGCCTCTGCACACCCAGATAAAGGCAGGGGCTGGGGGGGGCGCCGAACATCCTATAATTAAGTAATTATAGGAAACGCATGATGGATCCCTGTAGTTGTTATATTTTTGCAAATGTTAATAAGTCACATTGACAGAGGCTGTGATCACTCCTACGCTTGATTTTTTGTTTTGATTTACCATTCTAACCAGAGCGGAAAATCTCAGTCTGAATCCTTTAGGTACCCGGCTGCATGTGAACAACATTCACACTGACTTAAAGGGGGGAAAACTGGAAAGGGAAAGCCCCAAAAAGCATAATAGGACCCCTTTAAAAGAAAGCTGTCAATTTGTTTGTATTTTACCGTCTACAAGTCCCAACACATCAATGAAAATCAACAACGAAAGCATCCTACCTAAAGCTATTGTGTGTTTACATCCAAGATCAGGAACTTGTCATTGCTTAAAGATTCAGAAAAAGACTCAAATATTGTAACCCCTTATACTGGTAATGCTGTAATGCAAACATATTCTTCCTGCACGCCTCTGTGTGCTGGATCTTGTTCCGTATCAAATTCCCTACAAGGGTCTTCTGTTTGTGTTTAAAGCCCTGCATGTTCTGGCCCCGAGCGATACTACAGAACTGCTGCCCTCATACAGTACAGCCGCGCCTCTCAGATCTGCTGATCAAGGGCTGGTAGCCATCCCACGATCTCGCCCCCAAAACTTTCTGGAGACAGGGGGTTCTCTAATTAGGCTGCACCAGGATTTTTGGAAAAGTCTCTCCGAAAATATAAGAGCTAAAACGTTAGACTCTATTATAAAGGCTGTTGAGGACACCATTGAAATGATTTTTGACTTTGTTTGCTTTCTACGTATGATGGTTTGTTTAGTGTGCTTTTATGCAGGAATTTAATTATTCATGTCTTTGCTCAATTATATTTCTTGAAAAGCACTTTAAAGCTTAGGTATCAAAGCCTGACATCTTCTTGCTCCACGACAGAGGCCCCCACTGTTGTCCAATAACTATTAAAACACATCAATGAGCCACGCTGTTGCAATGGTTGGCTTGTTCCTCCAGTATCATTAAGACACAAGCTAGTGTATTTTTACTCAAAAGCATAAACACGGTCCTGTAGCCCTAACACTCGCTAAAGAATCAAATGTGGATTAATCCGCCACTGAAAATAGTCCCCGTTACAGTGTAACTACACTGACCAGCTGTTAAAGGCAGTAACTGTGATGATTCTTTGCTATGAGATTAAAGCCATAGTTAAGGGTTAGAATATGTCATTTGTATTTCAAGTCTTAAACATACCTATAGCTCATAGTCGGGCAGGATTTCTCCAAAGGGGGGTTCGTTTAGCATGAAACACTTGAAATAACTAAAGGATAAGTTAAAGAAGAAAGTAGAAAGAAAGTGAGGTCAGAGAAATCTATTTCTGCTAAAAAGTTAGCAAGGATTGAGAGTCAGACCTAAACATTTCAGATGTGTGTATCTCACACTACACCTTTAATTCATGTACCTGTTTTTAAATGCCATTTTATGATATGTTTCTTAATGTCTTTCATTTTTGTAAAGCACTTTGAATTGCCTTGAAAGGTGCTATATAAATAAACTTGCCGTGCCAAAACGACAGATTAAAAGCACATTTATTTATTAAGGAAAATATAGTGCTACTTGTTCCAAACTTTGGCAAACTTTTTCTCAAATTCTAATAGTCTTATGATTCATGATCTGAGTCTAAATAGTGTACCATGCCTTCCTTTGCTCCTGCACTAAACACTGACAAACAACCCTCCAGAGATACACGATTGTGCCAACAAGAAAAACCCAACTCGCAGTATTTTGACACCAATCCACACGCTAACCACCTCAAGGGTTAAGAAACTCGACTACCTTTGCCGACACATTCCCTGCTCGTCTGCGGTGTTCTAAAAAATGGTGAAACATAATAAGGGATGACAAATTTCACACACCGCTCAGCTAATTTCATCCTGGAGCAGAGTTAATTACGACAATTAAACCTGGGAGAGCATTCTTTAACTTGATTATGGGCTATTATGGTGTTACAGTAGGTACCAGACACAGTCAAGGATGAACGGTATCTCAGCAGCATTCATAATCAGATCATGCTCAGAGGCTTCTGCTGCTTCCAGAAAGAGGTTTGCTCAACCAAAAAAAAATATGTTTCCTAAAACAAACACCAGATTCTCTTGGTACTGTGTGTTCAGTAGAGATTTAATAAATAAACCCGCCATCTTTCCTCCCCTTCTGCTTGGATCATATTTATGACACATCAAAAATGCAAAAGGGAAGAGTATAACAAAGCATGAACAGATGACGTCTCTGAAAAACTAATCTAAAAACAGAGCAGAGAGAAACTCGAGAGCTATTTTCTCCTCAACAAATGAGATTGTTATGCCCCAGAAATCAGCCAGCTGTGACAAAACGGAGAAAAACTCTGATCTAGTAAATCCAATTTCTAGTGAAGTGATACCAAATGTGATTGTTCTGCCTGAAAAGGGGGGTATCTCGTATGAAAGATACAGTGGTAAAGTAGATTACTCAAGTACTTTACTTGAGTACAATTTTGAGAGACTTGTACTTTACATTGTATGCTACTTTGTACAAATACACCACTACAATTCAGAGGTCAATACATTACTTCTACTCCACTTCATTTATTTCATACTTTTAGTTTGTTCGCAGATTTTATTTAAGATGTAAGTGATGATAAGTGGTACGCAGGTACGCGGCAAAATTCTGAAATGCGTACCGTCACTTGTGTCTGTGAAGCTTTTCCAGGAGGCGGTTAGATCACCGGACGACAGAGAGTCGGTTTCCGTGTTGGGCTGCTGTTAACGTCGGTCTGTACAGCAGCACTGCGCAAAAACAGCTGATCACAACGTTCACACGCTCTGTGGTCACGAAGCTCTGCACTCCACTACCCCCCCCCGCTGACATTCAGAAGGCGAGACAGTAGGCTTTATACTCCACTAGCACCCCCCCCCCCTTGCTGACATCCGCGATACAGAGGGCTTAATACTCCAATAGCACCCCCCCCCCATTGACATTTGCGATACAGAGGGCTTCATACTCCACTAGCAAAATATTAAGATGCTGATACTTTACTGAGTACTTCTCCCACCTCTGGATGGATGAAACAAGATGAAACAAGATGAAAAAAGCTAAGCTGCACTCACCGTTCTCCTTCCCGTCTTTGATGCAGCTGCTGATGGACTCGGGGAGGCCGAGCGTGGCGGCCGTGGGCATCGGGCCCAGGATGGACTCTAGCGACGGGGCTTTTCTCTTCGGGATGTCCCCCTCCAGCTCCTGGTCGTTCTGCTCTTCCTGCCCCGGCTTCCTCTGCTCCAGTTTCAGCAGAGCCTCCAGTGTGAGCTCTTCCATGTCTTTGCCAAAGTGCTTGGCCACGGCCTTGAGAACGTCCTCTTCTTCGGGGTCCTCACCCTCTTCAGTCTTAGGAGTGGAGTTGGGTTCCTCATTTACAACGACTGGGAGAAGGACAGAGATCATTATGGAATCAAAGTGTGATGTGTGCTACGGGTTTCACTAAATACATTATTTTTGTTGTTTTGTTTATAAAAAGGTTGGTATAGTGAGAAATATGAACAACCAATATTTTCAGAAACATGGTCACATGTTTGATGAGAAATGTGTCCTTGTACAAAACTGCATGCTTTCTAAAAATTACAATAATGTATTTCATATTTACAATGCCGTCTCTTATTATACACTCGTTCTCTCTTCACTAGTCCCTTAGGATTAAAAAAGCAGAGTATGTTGTTATGTTGTGTAATTAGCTAGGTATAATTATAAATCTACAATTCAGTTTCCCAATTAAAAACTAAATAAAAAACAGTTGTATTACCACTGTTGTTAAAAAGATATTGATGAAAATGCCTCAAGAGCAGTGAGATAATTTTGTTTCCCAAATCTCTGAGAATCCAAATGCTGATAAATAAATCACATGCAGACAAAATAATTGGGATCATAATTCTGGCCATCCTCTCGCGGCCCTGGTGTCTAATTAAAAAGTGTCCTTTAATCAGCCTCAATTAAAATGTCCTCCTCACACAGACTTCAGACCACAAGTCACAGAAAAGCAACTGGATAATCAGCTGGAGAAGAAACGAGATGCCGGCGGATCTGAAAGCACTGCAGCAGCTGGAGGAGCAACATGCCTGAAATCACTGACAGCCTGCGACCCCCCCTACTGCGTGGAAACAAGGGGGTGTGTGTGTGTGACAAAGAAACAGACAGAGGGCCAGAGATAAAGAGTCAAAGGTAAAAACAGATACAAAGAAAGAGTGACGAGGAGAGCACTCGGGTGTGTGTTGTTTTTCATGGGTGGTGTGTGTGTGTGTGTGTGTGTGTGTGTGTGTGTGTGTGTGTGTGTGTGTGTGTGTGTGTGTGTGTGTGTGTGTGTGTGAACAACAAATTAGTTGTTCTTTTTATTATTAGATTCTTTGCTTACCCTCCATAATTGGAATCATGTTGTTTTTGTTTTATTGTTTCACTCACGGCAATGGAGACAAAACAATTCACAAAACATGGACTTTAAAACGTTTTCTTCTCCGTACCTTCTTTAGCGTAGGCAGCGTACACTCCTCTCAGTTTGGGTCGTGCGCACTCGAGCTCTGCGTCTATTTCATCCTGGTAGCCACTGATCTCATCTGTTGAAGACGATAAGAAAGTTGAACCTAGAATTATTCCTGAATCAAAAACTTTACATGCAACACTAAAAAGAAGAAAGTCCGAAGCAGTAAATCTGCCCATTTCCCTGAAATTATTGTGCATGAAACACGCAAGGAAAGGAAATGATACTTCTCTTGTGTGCCAACCCTTTAAATTACATCTCCTATAATAAGGATATAATATGTGAGCAATGCTACATAATGTAGGGTTAATTACACGTCGTGCTGAAATGACATCTTATAAAAAACCGGGAGCTGTTTCCTCTCAGAGCGTTTCAGTTTCTTCTCTCGCTTTTACCACATCCAACACTGATGCGCATTTAGTCGAGGTCAGCCAAGTGGCAGACACACTGAGAAAGTGTTACCAAACCTGTCTTTGTCAGAGGATTGAATAAGTCTGGCTGTCCGGAACATAATTCATTTTTATAAAAGGATAAAAAGCAAGAAGTCTGAGAGTCTAGTTGCCTTTGATGTGATGGAAAACAGACAAGGATATCGCATTCATACCTTCCACTTCATCCATCTTCTTTCTCAGCTCGATCTCCAGCTGCAGGGAGGCACACACAGAAAAGACATTGAGAAAAACAAACATGTTTATTAGTGACTTCAGGGCGAGGGAATTACCGGTAAAACATCTCAGAAAAGAACAGCATCATAACACAAGGACTGTGCATGGATGACGGAAATTTCCAGAAGTACTTTTGCTTCATTAACGTACAGAACACTAGGGATGCCAGTGATTATTCGATTATTCGAATATTTGTTACAGTCTCCGTAATCGAATATTATTTTTAAAAATCGATTTTATTTATATATTTTTTTATTATTATTTATGTTTTTTTTTTTTTTTCTGGTCTTAGTTTCAACC